CGAGAAATTAACATTCCATAAGGTCTGAAACTTGGTAAGCAAGAAGTATTCCTTACTCACCTCAAAGCGGAGTTTTTGTTGCGCCTCGAATCTGTAGTTCATCACCAATTTTCTGACGAACTGCGGATTGAGGTTGTCTCTGATAACTTCCGTTCGGTGACATTCTCTCCAATTGAACACTCCTGGTTCTGATTCGTAAGTCACGATAAACGGATCGGATTTCGAAAAGTAATCCTTGTTGGCTAAATTCCTGTCAAAACAAAGAAAAATCATCAATGAAGGACTCCTAACACGAATATTTGAGCGTTGGTGTTGAAAACAAATGAAACTCACTTGGCACTGAGGGTAATTTCGACCCTTGACGTGGGCTCCACGGCAACTCCGGGAACAAACGGTTGTTGCATGATGCTCTTTCTTTTTAGATCTTCACTCAAACCGCATATTACGAAACCCGCAAGTGAACATCAAATAACATAGCAAAATCCGAAGTTATAACCATGCACAGCTGCCTACGGACAGAGTTCCAACACACGAGATACAATTTAACTGCGTAATTCACTCCTGGAATCATGCCACACGACGCACGCATCTATATTATATGAAGCTCCGGCGCAGGCGAAAAAAAAACACGAAGTGTGGTTTCATCCCGAAGAGCTGGTGCAACTTTGTCACAACTTAAAAAAATATTAATTTAAAAATATGAAAGTAACAACCCATTATCAATAAAGCTTGGACCCAGAATTGACTCATCACAGTCCTTCGAAATAATTCAACAGGGTTTTTGAATACCAAAAATGGCTTAGACTCATCAACGAATCATCATCACCAATTGACTTCAACTTTTATTTGATCAAAACTTATATCAGGGTTCATTAGTAAAATGATACACTCTTAAGCTTTTCGCCATCTTGGAATAATTTAAACGATAATTCTATTTAAAAAAAATATATCTTCATCACCCCATGAGTTTTGTAAGTCCACTTCTGTTTTTAATTTGCTCCGCCGACTTCAATGACATTTTCTATGTCATGCATGAATAAATAAAGAAAACCAACATTTGACTAAATTAAGAAGTTCCTAATACAGTAACAGTAACCCCAAATCTCTCAGCAATAAGGAATGCTTATCAAAAGCATATAAGAAATATTTTGGCGATTTTGTTTTTGTTGAGGGATATTTTCATGCTTGAATTGGTGAACATCTTCCCTATCGCTCATCATTCGAAATGTGTGGACAACTTTCGAATTTAGTATCCATAAAAGAAAAATCTTCGAGGTTAAAATTTTGTTTTTCTGTGAAACAGGCTTATTGGATTTGGAACACTGTCACCAATGAGATTTTTTTTCAATTTTTTGAAAAAAATGGTAGCCCTCGCTGGGGACTTTTGCACTTTCACGAAACACGGAAGTAAGAAACACACCGAAATACTGTATCTCGAAAAGATTGATATCACTTCCGTTTTTTTTTTCTCCTCTACGCTTCAAAATGGGTGAGTTTTAATTGGAACTTTAGTAAAAAAAAAATTACTGCGTTACTCTCTGACAATTCTGTAAACCCATTCAACAAGGAAAGCGAACGACTCGAAAAACATATGAAGAAGACTCGCATCTTGATTAAAACTTTTGGTGGGCTATCAAACGAATAAAACTTCAACAGCTCTAAAAGGATGTTCTCACACCAATCTTCCGCGCCATCACGGTAGGCAGCATCTTCCAATCACTCAAAAAGCAACACGTCACCTCTTCACTTCTCGAGAATCATAGAAGGAAACCACTCGCTGGGGAATAGAACTCAGAAGACTTCGCGTTAACCGATTCGCATACGCTTCGTCTCCGAGAAGGTCCGTGTTGTTATCATCATTGCACGGTGCGAGAAAGATATCACGGAAGG